CTCATTTTGGAAATAAACTCTTCCCATGCCCTTGTCACACTTTTCTCCTGCGTCAGTGTAACGTCCCTTAAATGCTTGCCATTTATCACTCCTGTTTACTCTGTGGCCTTAGTGAGAGAAGGAATGGGGGTGGTGGTGGGGATTGAGAGCCCTCGTCTCTCACTTCCAAGAAGCAAAAACCATGACGTCCTTGCACACAATTGCCCAGGACATTACCGACGTCCAAAAAAAAAAAATCGTCTTCACGCACCGGAACAGGCCCTGTTTGGATGGCGTGGCGGTCAAACATTCCAATGTGTTTGTTTACCTGAATGTGGTAACCGGAGACTTGTTTGCAGACTCCCACACGCGGTACAAGGCTTCAACAGAGTACATGTATGTTGTCAGCTCTCTACTGCACGGCCAAATAAACCACTGCATTGAGCTTATCTTTCCAAATAAGGTTATAAGCTACCAAAGCCACAGGAGTTTTAGAAGGATTTGTTTCAGTTTAAGTACTGGTTTTTAAAGTATCTTTGAAAGAAAATTGACCGTGCTTGTACTTTTTGTGACTTGTTTGCGATTTCCCTTTTTTTTTTCTCTAGGTTTGCAGCGTCATGAGTAGGGACTGTTAGAAATAATGCATGTACTGAAGATGCACGTGGCGTGTCAGTTTGTTAGGATTTTTCATCAGGGCTTTCCTGATTTGGGGATGTTTTTAAAACAAGCTCTTTTTAACATCTTGAAAGCCCTGAGTTTACCATTATTTGGTGCATTTACAGGTAAATATACGACCTTAGAAAAATTGTATTTTTTGGCAGGGGGGGCTTGAGGAAAACACCAATGTACTCCAAAGACCTTCTGCTGCTTTTGGGCCCTCAAAACCCTCTGGTTATTTTGTTTCCCTCCAATCTCATCCCTGCCTGTGTGGTTGTTTCACTGGAGCAACTCACCTGCAGCACAATAACTGCCATTACATTGCCTATGGTTTGCAATACGATTGCGCCAAGCTCTTGGTAACCCATTTCTCGACTGAGAATGCCAGGTACCCTGGTTTCTCCATGCCCAACTGAGAAGTGAGGTACCTGGTTACCTGATGCTCAACTGAGAACACCAGGTACCATGGTTACTCTATGCCTGACTGAGAATGTCAGGTGCCCTGTAACCCAATAGCCAGCTGACAAGCCAGGTGCAGGTATGCATGTACCTTGTTACCCATTTCCTTGTTGAAATGCCAGGCAAGCAGTTACCCAATACCCAGTGG